CAGCACTTTGAAGTAGTGCATCCATTGATGTCCTTGCAGCTAGCCATCGACCTGTGATTTAAGAATTCTTTTATGTTTCCAGATGCTCTCTGCAGCAGGGAATGCCATCCAGCTTGTCATCCGCTCTGCTGCTGATTTCTTTGGCATCTATTCTATGCTTGCCAAGAATATGGAGATTTGATCAAAGATGCAAATAAAAATACAGTCTAGGCTGAACTGCTCTTTGTTCGCTCAGGTAACTTAGAAGTAAAAGTTCAGTCTGCTGTAAAATAGGAAAGGTTGTTCTAGAATGTGTCCAAGACTATTAAGTAGATGTGACTGTTTAAAAGAGAATTTTTTAATATTTCAGTTGACATTAAGTTTCAAAAGGTGAACTACTTATTAACCCAACTTTTTAACTTAACTAACAAAATAATTCCCATTCGGTTTCTTAGAACTGTCATACTGGTTTGATGGAAAGTTCTTTTGACTCAACAAAAAAATAAAAGCAATGCTTCAATTTACCAAATAAAATTCAGCACTTCATGGCCTATGAAAAGAGGTCAGTGGTAATAATGCCTACATGTGAATACTGGTATTTTCTTGTTAAATACCCAGATCTTATAAATCTACACTGATGCCATGATTTAGAATCTTCTGGGAAAAGAATTCAAATTTGCTTATTAACTTCAGAAGGCTATCTTCTTGCCCTTGAAGTGTCTGCCTCACAAAGAAATGACAAATGTAACTCTGAAGAACTTGAAATGCATTGTCTTTAAGAAGCTTTCTTGCAACATGCTAATCAGCTTAAAAAATGTCCTTTTAGTGCTGCAAATTTTGCACAGAATTTGAAACAGAAATTTTACATTATTTTGGAATCTATGGATCTATGGATCTATGATGCCTTGAGCAACACATTTTGCTACTTCTTTATAATAATACAGGACAAATTTCCTCTCTGAAAGAGCGGTGAGGCAGTGGCGCAGGCTGCCCAGAGAAGCGGTGGAGTCACCATCCCAGGAGATGCTCAAGAACCGTGTGGATGTGGCACTGAGAGACGTCGTTTGTGGACGTAGCGAGGGTGGGTTGGTGGTTGGAGTGGATGATCTCAGAGGTCTTTTCCAGTCTGAATGATTCTGCGATTCTAACACAATTGGTTTTTCACGATTAAATAAAAACGCCTTGATCTTCATTATTTTTGCTGCCAGACAAATAAAATGGCTCGGATTTTGCTCTAAATTGTTATAACGTTTTTTCAGAGTTACCAGGTGTTAAAAATTTGACTTTAGTTTCAAGACAGGTATATAAAATTTGTCTGCTTTTTGCACAGCACATTGGCTGATTTAAGCATGAAGTGTAAGCACTCATTTCAAAACCAGCAAGAAATCTAGCCAAGGATGAGTATAGCATGAGGCTTTACCACAACGTGATGCAGGCAGATATTTTAGTCTGTTTGTAAGTACAACAAAAATAGACTACAAGGGGAAGAAAACTCAGGCAACTACTTATAACAGCAGAGGGGTTTGGGTTTTGTGTTTTAAGGTGGAGCATTAGCAGTATAAAAGGAATGACTTCAAGCTGCACCTTGAGGAAGTTCAGATGGGATACTAGGGAAAAATTTATTCGAAAGAGTGGTCAGGTGCTGGAACAGCCTGCCCAGGAAAATGGTTGAGTCACCATCCCTGGAGGTGTTCAAGAAATATTTAGATGTTTTACTAAGGGACATGGCAGGGAGACACTGGTGGTGGGTAGACAGTTGGACTGGATGATCTTGGAAGTCATTTCCAATCTTGATGATTCTATGATTCTATAATACTAAAAACAAAAACAAAAAAAAAAAAAAACCAAACAAACAAAACCACACAATGCTCAAGTCAGAAAATTATTAAATCCTGAATTCTGACCAAAATAATGCATGAACTGACAGAAGTTTAATTATTCCCACTTTGATAAATTGAACATTCTTGTTCTTACAATGACAATGCTGGCTATCTATCATTTGCAGATTTTTTTTTTGGTGCACGTGTGGTGTTTCATTTTGTTATTGTTTGATTGATTTGTTTTTTTAATTCAATCCTTTACGTTTTGCATTACAACTTTTTTGAAATGCCCTTAAGTATGAGGCACAATCTGTAAATGAGTGAGAAAACAGAAGTGGAATGTTGGTCCACCCGTGTTCAGTAAATGAATGAGAAGAAGTAATCAGCAGGAAATTTGACCCTGTTCTTATTTAACATTTATTATATGCCTTGAGAAAAGGGGATCGTTTTCCACGTTCACTGCTGGAGGTAAGTACCAGCAATTACGACGAGTACACAGTCTGAGTCCTGTGCTATGCAGCAATGGCTTTAGGAAGAAGGCTGAACTAGAATTAAGTATTGTGCATTTCTGTTTCAGAGCCCACGTATTCTGTTCAGTGTTTTATTTCAAGGTAACATTTGTTCCATTAATAGTTTCTACAGAGAATTACACCAGACAAATAAATAATAGGGAATATGGCTCATAGGCTGTATTTGAACAAAGATCCAATAATAATAATAATAATAATTAATTGGATGCCTTGGATATTTTAACTCAGTAGTCAGGAGTCCCTAAGCATATAATACCATTCAGCAGCTAATGATGCAAGCTGATGGCACTCTGTAAGTGCATGCCAGCTTCATATTCAGGACGCGTCTGCATTAACATCTTAATCCAGATCAGGAAGGCTTGCTGGTGACCCTTCCAGATCCTATTCTTCAGTCTGGCCTAAGAGAATGTGAATTGCATCCAGCTCCAGCCACAAATATGCTCTTTTTCCACAAACTAAAAAAACCATGAAACAGAGAGTGTGAATGTTCTGCAGATCGACTGCTGTGCACTGATGGATTGCTAATGCAGATGAGACGTCAGAATGCTCAGCACTGCTGCTTCAGGATAGTGTTGTGTTTCTGTATTTTGGAGGGAAGGGGGTCGGGGTGGTCAAGCATGCTGTATCGAAGAGAATATATTCCCTATATATGCTGTGGAGTAACAAGCCATGGTTTGGAGAGAAAGAAGAGACAGAAGAATAATTGAAATAATTCCATGTTCTGGAAGCAGCTGGGTGCAGAAGCTGGATACTTTTCATCTCACTGGGCTCCAATTTCTTACAATTTTATCTTTTTCTATATATTAAGAATTTCAGTAATTTATCATTATTAAAAATAGTTCAAATTTATTTTTCTTTTTCCAAATGAGACTATTTTGCCTCTTAAAATGAGGTCAACTTTTCATTTAAATCTGTGCTTAAACTCCCACTCTTTTGTGATATCAGAATGCCTTACGTGACTGAATTCCATTTTCCAGAAACCTCTGTTCTTAAGCTGTTGCCAAACTAGCACTACTGTTTCAGATATGGCCTAGCACAGGTTTCATAACAAAACTACATATTACAATTCATTTCAGCAGCTGCTATCTAAAAATCCTTCAGCCAGTTAAGAGCTGTTATCTTCCAGGAAAAGGCAGCAAAAAATTAATCCGTACATCTGAATCTGTGGTAAATGCCTGAGGAACCTCACCTTTGCTCCTGTTAGCTAGTTCTCATACAATAAGTAATATGTAGCTCCACATGCATAAATAATTGCGCATTTGCAGAGTCAAAAGAATATAAATTTCTTTATAGTAGTGCCAGGCTCTTCCCCTTCCAAGACACTGCTGAACATGCAGAAGAACAAATATCTCCTGCCTTTCCTTTCCTCACCTGATGCCCTGCAAACACCTGCAGTATCTGGGCTTCTCCCAGGGTCAAAAGTGGGACAACTCATCCAATTGTAACAAAGGTTTCTCTCCCAAGCCTGAGTGTCATTAAAAACACTGACATGAATGTGCACAAGTCTTGGAGAACATGGAAATCACCCGCTTTGCCAACACTGGAAACATTTACTCTTTTTAATTTATGTGGGTTGCACCATTTTTAATATGGTAGATCACTTTTTTAATCCCAGTACTGTTGTCCCCCTACAGACAAAGTTTAATGCTATGATGCATTTCTTTAGGATATGCAAATATCAGTATGCACAGTTATCTCTTATACAACCATAGAATCTTAGAACTGTTTGAGTGGAAGGGACCTTTAAAAATCATCTAGTGCAACTTCCCTGCAACAAACAAGGCCACCTACAGCAGATCAGGGTGCCCAGAATAATGTCCAGCCTGACCTTGAGCGTCACCAGGGATGAGCATCCAGCACCTCTCTGGGCAACCTGTGCCAGTACCTCATTACCCTTATTGTAAAAGAACTTTTTCCTCATACCCAGTCTAAAACCAGTTAAATAATCTTCTCGGTACAGAAATTTCTACCTATGGTTTGGGGCATTTTCATGGGGCAACTTTGGTGAAGAAGCAGGCTTTGCACTTGACCCCATTACAGTAATCAGTCTGTGAGCATTCTGATTTTATTGGATATTCCTAGTATCTGTGCAGCTTCTCCCTGTGCTACCCAGCAGGCATGTTAATGCTTCCAATGGAAGGAAACCTTCCTGTGACTTGACAGCAAGCTGGACACGAGCCAGCAATGTGCCCTTGCTTCCTAGAAAGCCATGGGTATGTGCCCCCTTCCTGGAGACATTCAAGATCAAGGGCTGGATGAAGCTCTGATCACTCTGATCTGCTGTAGGTGTCCTTGTTCATTGCAGGCAAGCTGGACCAGATGACTTTTAATGGTCCCTTCCAGCTCAAACAACTCTGTGATTCTATGACTTCAGCTTGGTCACCGGGAAAGAGGTGTGGGAGAGATCTGTCAGGGAGCAAGGATCAGAGGGATGTGCTCAGGACTAAGGCAAGCAATGCTGAACTGAACAATTCAGGCAAAGGCCACCTAAGAGAAACCAGGGCATGTCTTACATTGTCCTAAAATGAGAAACTAGGGTATGTTTTATGTCATCTTACCAAGAGCAGGTGAAGCTTGCTGTCATGAATACGAGGCACAGTGCACAGAGGATCAGGGCCAGGAGAGCCTGAGTCAGTCCCCAGTCAGCAGGGCTGAAAGTGCTGGGACTGACCTGTCGTGGCAACCACCTCACTTGGGCGATGATGAGCTCTGGAAACAGTTTCCTAATCTGTGGGCAGCCACCTCGCTGTGTCAGGCTATTAAGGAGAGAGGCGTCTTCTCCAGGAATGACCACCAGCCTTCTTTCCTTGTTAGTGGCAGCAGCTCCTTTTTCCGCCTTTGTGTTGGCATAGAGAAAAAAAAGTCTGTGTAAGACTGCTGTATATACTGGAGGGTAAAGAGAAAATTAGTATATTAATAATAAATTAAACAACTTCCTAAAGGTCATGTTAAAACATGCTTCCTGACATGACTTCAATTAGTAAATGGAGACTCAGATTCTTTTGGAAATTTTCCCACGTCTAAGAACCTCATCTTAACCCTCAGCTTGACTAGTTCTCAAAAAATCAAATTACAAACCATTAAGATGTTTGCCAACAGCATTCATGAAGCACATGTTGCTTCAGATTCTTGCTAAGAAATATCCAATCAAAATGCCCTGTGACTCAGTTATTCTTGAATTGGTCTAATTTTGCCTGTGAAAATTATGAAGAAACTTGCCAACTGCTCATACGCCTCAACAGATGCAATTTTAACCATCTCAGTCCTCTTTTTGGAGAGCACTCTAAGTGCAGAAAGTCATTTCTTCTCATTTTTATATTTTTCATTTTGGCTGGGTTTGAAGGAAATATGTGTCACTTATAAATGAGTTTATTATAGCCTTGTATTGAGTTCATATGGGGAGCATCACTGATATAAATTAAATTCCTTCATTATTTTAAATTGTAGTCTTAACCAAGGAGTTACAAGCTAAATACACAATTATCTACTCATAATAACATGACTCTGACCAAAAGGCAGTGAGGACACCAAGATGCTGAGTGAGCCATCAGGCCGAGTAACAAGAAAAATCCTGTGTACAGTCATTTTCCCAGACAGCTTCCTCAAAGCCTGAAGAACACCATTTACATCAGAAAAGCTTTTTACAAAGCATGTCCAGGCTGGGCTACCATGATAGTTTGCCATTTGGTGGGATTTCTCCTCCTTTTCACAGCTCTAGTGATACTTAGCAGCCTTGGCTTTGCTCTGAATATCACACAGCCCTTCTGATATCAGCTCCAGTCTACGATCCCAGCCTTATCCTGTATATGATAAGTGTCTGACTGCGGTACTGCCCTGACTATTGGCTTTAAGATAAGTAATGCTTTGTGTCCTGGGGAATGTGGCTGGATTTTTATGATACTGTATTTTAGGAGATCTGTGTTGGTTCTGCATTGGGAACCAGGAATCAGAATGCAAACAGCCAAAAGCACTTGGTACTTACCAGGCATACTGAAGGATGGGTTCTGCTTAGAAAAACCTCATGAAATGAGAGTTATTCACTCAAAGAAAAGAAGAATGATAGCAACAAGATGTAGGTTATGCGCTGAAGAGAAGATTAGAGATGGTCTGTTTGCTAATGTCATCCAGCCAAGCAGCCATTCTCTCCCTCTGCATTACAAAATATACAAAATACATTTAGTATTTGCTATCAGTATGAATGCTGTTTAAGATTATGTATAGACAGAATTTGCAAAGGATGGCTTTTCCAGAGGCACAGGATTTGTTACCTCGTCTTCATTACATTTAGAAGTATGATACACAGTTATCAATATATACTGCAGTGTAGCATAGGTTAGACATCCAACACATTTGTTATTGTGGTAGGTGAAGAAATTCTTCATTCTAAGTCCCCATTTTATCAGCATTATGAGACATTTCTAATTTGTGAGAAGCGTCATACCTATACACACAAATAATGTTCTTAAAATACAGCTCATGAAAAAAATTGGAAATGGACTCAGTTTATGAAGAACAGCTTGCCACACCACCATACATTTAATGAAGGAGAAGCAAAACCTGGGCTCAGATTTTACAGATGCTTACAGATGCCTTAACTACTGCTTAGTTTGAGCAATGCAAGTCAGATGATTAAAACAAGAGCCCATGCTCTCACAGGTGCATTGCCCACTGAAAGAAGAAGGGGAAGAACCTGCCTCCCCATTTCATTTTACCTGCTTCCCATCAAGCAGAATTTACCTATGCAAGCGTTTATACATGTAACAAGGGGATCGCACAGCCTCCGTGCACTAAGATATCTGTGTGAGACATCCTGCCTCATGGGTCTGCCCCATCCCAGGGGAATAGCCTGCAGCAAAGGAAGCAGAAGCGTGTTTGGTTTGCATGACATACTCCTTTACAACTAGGAGGCCAAAAATAATTTCCTCAGGGTCTTTCCATTGATTCCGACTTGAAGATGCTGAAAATACAAATACAAGAAATATAGATATTCAGGCACAACTCACAGATCCACTTCCAAATAATGTGAATGAGAGAGGAAATAAAAAGTGCCTACAAAGCGACGGTGGGGATGATTATGTATGTATCCAAATTACCAGTATTAAAAACAAGGAAAGAAAAGGATAGCCTAAACCTGAGTAAAGCTCAGCTGCAGTGCACAGCAACCACAGCTTATTTCACAGACAAATCTATGAGGAAATACAGCCTCTTTTCAAATACTCTAGCTGGCATGTTGTTAGTAGCCATTGTTGCCTTCATTGCTTATTCAGCACAACATCAATAATATATTTTTTTTCTTCAGCAGTTACACACATATCACCAAAAGATTTCCTGGCATTTACAAGGATACTTTGAGACACTGTGATCTTGAAAGAGAAGGCCTATATGCACCCGCCTATCAATCATGGGCACCTTTTAATTAGGGTGAAAGAAATGCCTGCTGTGTTAAGGAAGACACTCAGAGGTTGGTTATCCCTCTGTCACTATATAAGACCAAAGCCATCTTGCGTCAGAGCATGTTGCAGGGATGAGAAGGACTTGGTACTACAGTATATCTCACCTCATACTGAGGGAAGGGATTAGCCAATTGTTCATCAGTCACATTAAAGAGCTAAGAGAAAGAGGGCAGTGATCCTGAGCATTCTGCACCAGTTTAAAGAGATGTATTAAATGAACACATAGAGAATATGGAATTGTACATAGCAGGTAACAGAGAGGGCTGATTATCTGTGGAGACCTCCCAGAAAGATGTGCTGTGCAGTTGTGCTGGGGAGGAAAGAAATGGCTCGCTGGGGCACTGGATCATGCCTGGCCTGTCCCGACCTGTAAGAGTGCCTGCCAGACTTCTTTTTTTCCTCCTTCAGTAGTAAAACTGGAGAAAAAAAAAGAAAAAAAAAAAAAAAAGTAAGTTTTTTGGATGAGATCAAGACAGATTTCTTGTCAAAAACGAGAGGCTTCAATCACATTTATAGGTAGTGACTGAAATTATATTCTCAAGCATTTCTTTGTTGACATAACACGTTTGCCTTTTCATTATCAATCAAACTCAACCTCATGATTCAGTAAAATCTGGAGGACTCAGATTCATCCACTTCCCCTTCTGTTTTAGAGGACATTTTTATTTGAGGACAAGCAAATTTCTCAGAGGTATAACTGTAATGCTAAGAGAAGGAAATGAAGAAAGGTCTCCTCTTTCCTTCACCAAGTTGTGCAAGAACCACTTCATTACCAACGGCAGGCACTGGGTTTCCTGGCACAAGGAAAAGGTCACTGGGGAAAAGAAAGGTGGGAAGCTCAAGAGCAGGAAGAGATGCTGTCAGGGAAACAATCATGCAATGCCACGTGGCAGCAGGAGGAAATGACTGAGGAGGCATCTCATCAGATTGGTGAGATAAGAAACATTTGAGGTGACTAGACCAAGATGTCAGCAAGAGTGCACAGAGGCCCAGGCATCCCTCTGCTAGAAAGCAAGTCCTGAGTCAGAGGGAGGTCAGGTGGTCCAAGCAATGATCTGCAGGCTGGGGAGGCTGATTTGAAGACAATAGAGATAGTGTGGGTAGGCTAGACAATAGCTAGGACAAGAGTATTTGAAGGGTGGAAAGGCAAAGAAAGGACAAATCATAGAACAGTTTGAGTTGGAAGGGACTTTTAGGATCATCCAGTCCCAACCCCCCTGCTAGACCAGGTTGCTCAAAGCCCCATCCAGCTTGGCCTTGAATGCCTCCAGGGAAGGAGTATCCACAGCCTCACTAGGCAACCTGTTACAGTGTCTCACCACCCTCACAGTAAAGAATTTCTTCTTGATATCTACTCTAAATTTGCTCTCTTCCAGTTTAAAACCATTTCCCCTCATCCCATCAATGCTTGCCCTTACGAAAAAAGTCCCTTCTCAACTTTCCCACAGGTCTTCCTCACGTACTTACAAATCATGTAAGGCAGAACAAACAGCACAGCTAAGAGCATTGCGGGTACTTACAATGCTTAAAGATTTTGTAGACAAAATGAAAGTCCACAGTCTGAGACTCTTGCAGTCTAGTCAGAGACATGACAGCGCACCAGACGTGAACAAGGAGTGGGAGGCTGAGGGATGTAATAATAAGTAATGAGCTGCAACAGGGACAGCACAAACTTAAATTGAACAATACATGTATAGGTTGTTAGAGTCTGGTTTTGGGATGGAGTTAATTTTCTTCATAGAAGCTGGTATGGGGTCATGTTTTGAATTCAGGAGGAAAATTAAAAAAAACCAAACAAACAAAAACACACATTTTAACTGTTGATGAGCAGTGCTGCGTAGAACTGAGGATGTCACTGCTTCTTCTACTGCCTTGCCAGCAATGGAGGACACAAAGAGTTGGATGGGGACAGCACCAGGACAGCTGACCTAAACTGTCCAAAGAGATGTTCCATACCATCACGTGGCAACGTGCTGAACAACAAAACTGGGACAGTAGGCTGGGGATGGGTGCTGCCACTGCTCAGAGACTGGCTGAGCATAAGTCAGCAGGTGGTGAGCAATCACTCATTTTGTATGTTATTTTCCTTCCCTTTCTGTCCTATTAAACTGTATTTCAGCCCACGACTCTCTCCCCCATTGCACTGGAGGGAGTGACCAAACAGCTGCTCTGCCTGCTGAGTTAAACCAAAACAAGGTTACGGAAGAATCTCCCAAGAGAACGGACAAAAAATTTCCACTTCTTAACACCTGAACAGAACGCTATGTACAGCTGGGAGATGAATGAGGGGGTGTCTCCCTAGAGGAGTTCATAAACTGTTTCATGTAGATGAAGAAACACAGCCTGAGTCTCAGCAAGGGCCGTGCAGAACAGATGCAAATGTCTGAGCGCTGGTCACAATAAGTCTGTGCAGACATCATTTAATGTGTTCACAGAAAAAGCAGAATGACAACTGCTGTCATATAAAAACCTCATTAGAGTGGTGATACATTGCTAGACAGGAGTTTTCATAATTACCAAGAGCCTTTTTAAAGTTCAATTTCTGTTGTATGAAGCATAGGCCTGGGAACGTACTCTAATTTCTAGATAGAGATACGGGGTTGATGCTTTGCTGTCTTGCTTCCTAGTAAATCATTTGATACCATTAAGTCTGTAATGCAACTCTATGTCCCAGCACTACCATCGCGCTTGCTTTATAGCAACTCAAAAGACAATACAGAACTCAAGGTAGCTGATATCTATTACATTCTTATCTAAGATGAAAATATCGAAGCAAACTAAATATCAGACATCTCAGTGATTTTAAACCAGGTAGTCCACTGGAGTCATCACTAATTATACAAGAATTAGATCCAGATCAGTTCTCTGGGCAAAGTTATTGATTTCCTCATCGTATTTTAGATTCCACACTTTTATTCCTCACTGGCCACAATGACAGTCATGATCAGCATTAATACACAGAAAAGCTGGGGCAGAAAAAGGGACTTTCCTCACACCTAATACAGTAAAATCCCACTGGCATTAAAGTGAATTGCAGTAAGGAAGTTTCCAAAATATACCGTCTCTCAACAAACTTTCATTATTGTACCTTCCAGCATAATCTGCCAATAAATACATTTCTCATGGACTTGATATATGAGCCACATTTTCTTTTCTCTACAGCAATTTGCTCAGGATTCTAGGAACTGATATTCCAGAAATGACCAAATGGTCCAACACTACATAAGGATACCTTATAGGACTTGAATATATTTGCTTTGGAAAAGATAAGATAAATAGAATAGATAAAGCTTGCCATCTAGAGGAACTATTCAGAAATCCACTTTTTTTTGTATCTACTTATTCTGTTTAATGTATTTTGGTACTGATTGTAATTAGTCAACCCACTGAAGAGATTTCAAGAAGCTGACTACAAGATCCAGCTTCAGTTTGCTCTTTGTGCTGTTCAGCTTCCACCTTTTTTCCCCACCCTGCAAAAGGACCCCTGCTCCATCTTGCCGCTATAAACATTCTACTGCAATGTCCTGTTCCCATCACTCTCTGTACAGTGAAAAGAACAGACAGCGGTGGTGGGACTCCTACCTGGCATTCTGGTGAAGGGTTATCCAGAGGATGGACAAGGTGCTAAGCCCAAAGGTCTCCTTCATCCTGAGTTGTTCTGTGGTCCCACAGAGACTTTGGGGATGCTTCCTAGGGAAGAAATTCCAGCAGCATCTCTTCTGTAAGCTTACCATTCCAAATACCAACCATGAAAGTTTGGGGCTCAATTCCGTTGCTTCAGGGGGCTTAAATATAAATCTCTCCTGATTCGAAGAAAATCCCTATTCTTTCTCTGTGGAAAGAAAAACCTTTACAGAATGCCAAAAAACAGGAAAGTCCTCCCTCATTCACCTGTGGATAAATTAACTGTTAAGTCCTGTCACCTGTTTACATCTTTTTATGTCAAGCAGGAGATTTAAAAACCAAACAAATAATAAGAAAACAACATATAGGCAGCTTTTAGAGCCAGGTATGAAACATGATAGATCCTAGGCCTAGTGGAGTTTATACATCTTAGCCAAGATCCCAAGGTATGAGCTCTGAGCAACCTATCCTTTGAAGCAAGTTGCTTGGAAAACTGGGCTGTGAGGTGCCAGGCGCACTCCCTGTGGGGCTGCCACTTTCTCTCACCAGCCTTAGCATCCTTCTCATTTCCCAGAAGGGCTGCAAGCAGGCTGAGCTGCAGCTGTCAGCTAAGAAGACTGACAAACCTCCACGTGAGATTGAGAAGGGCAGAGGCCAGCAAAGAAGAGCCACAGATAAAACAGCAGGTTATGGGGTAATTACTTCAATCTGGAGCATAGGAGCAGGAAAGAGATCTAGGCTACAGGGTACTGGAACAGCCTGAAAAATGCAGTTAATGAAGCAAGAGTAAGATGATACACTTCTGGTAACTTGTAATAAGATGAGAGGTATTGGTCTCAAGGTGCACCAGGAGAAGTTCAATTTGGATATTAGGAAAAAATTCTTCTCCAAAAGAGTGTTCAAGCATTGGAAATAGGGAAGCGGTTGAGTTGCTGTCCCTGGAGGTGTTCAAGAAATGTGGAGTTGTGGCACTGAGGAGCATGGTTTAGTGGGTGTGGTGGTGATGGGTTGATGGTTGGACTTGATCTCTTCCAACTGTAATGATTTTATGATTTTATGAATTGGAAGCTCTCATTTGTGATGAAAGTGACACAGCAGCTGTAGTAGCAGTGTCTACAGGACAGAGTGGAAGAAAAGTGATCATGATGAGCAGGCATGAATGCACCCAGGTAGCAAGGCCACAGGAAGCTGGGGCTACTGACCTTCAGGTAAAAGAAAGCTGCCCTGGCTCTGTGCAATGCAGTCAAGGCTGCTGTGCCACTTACCCTTATCAAACATGCCAAGCAATTCCCAGGTACTTTCTCTTGCATCAGAAAGGATTAGGTAAGCAGAAACATGGCACAGTGATGCAATTATTTGGCTCAACACAGTGCTAGGCACAACATCACTGACTGTGTGTTAAAACGCCTCAGTTTGAGACCTTAGCCTCTGCCTCAAGCACAGATGCTTCAAAGAGATTATGAGAAGAATGAGTACCGCTCTTGTTTCACTAGATGGAAAGTAATATCTCTTTCCAGCTTCAGACCCAGCAGGCTAAACCACTAAACAGAATTTCACATGAATTTCAGCGGGTAGGACTTAGTCCAATTAAGTAAATAGCACTGTCCTACTTCTGAAATAAAAAAGAGTTTCGCCATTTATAGAAATCAAAAATTGTTCACTACGCTTTTGCTTTTTGATGGGCACACTGATTTCAGAGGGGTCACGTTTCTAAGGAGGACAAAAAGATGCAGTCAATGAGAGGTGAACGTGACCACAATATGAGCTGCTATCTGTGAGATCATCAGTTCAGGGATTCTTCTGAGTTCATTTTTAGGGATCAGTGTCATTAACGCTCTAAAGCCAATTTTTAACATTGTGATGGTGTTCCTCAGGACCTATGTTTAGCTTCTCAATTACCCCTCCTTTGGGCTGGGAAGTTGGCAACAATTAGATGAGTCGTCTCCAGCTCAGTGCTGGCCTGAAATGTCACCTACCCTTCTGTACCCTATTGTTTCATCATACTGCACTCCTCCTATGAGACTTGTTTATCTTTCCTTCAAGTTTCATACTATTTCCTGCTTCACTGAGATTTATGATGAAAGAAAGAGTAATGCTTCTAATTGATCCTCTTCAGGTAACATTATCTTCTGCAAGAGCATCAATCAGTGGTTGTAAACATATGTTTGACAAGAGTTTTCCTTTTTATATGCCACCTTGGAAATTTTAAGAACAGCTGAAGCTCTGCTGTTAAAGGATGAGCAATACAAGAATGAGAAGTAACAAGTACAGGGAGGATGGCAATGGAAATCTCTCAGATCTCTGACGACGTGGTGGTGATTATAAGATCCAGTTGATCAGACTGGCAAAACCTCTTCATTGAGAGCTGCCCTTTGCATGGTAGCTTACACGTGTCTAAGCCTCTGGGCACCATGTTGTTCAGGCAATCTTCAGCAGCCTGTGAGCATGACCATGTCGACATGTGGAAGACAGAAGTTCCCATTTTCAGCTATTTAAGACAAGAGCAAAAAAAAAAAAAAAAAAAAAAAGCAATCATGAGTCCTTGGCTTGCATCAGCTACTTGGCAGATACAAAAACAGAGAATAGCTCTGAAGTTAGACTAAGTGTGACCTCAATGACCATTCTTGTGCAGAAGCAGAGTGACCATTTTGGCCCTTAAATCGAAGTTCTGCTGCTCTCTAGCCCAGGTGTAAAATGATGGTAGCTATCACACACAAGGGTGTATGTCTTGAAGAACAACTCTCCCTAGGTTCAGACACATTAAGAGGCCACTGCCACCATCCCACCTTGAGCTTGTAGAGCTGGCTCAGGCACCTCTTGTCCCATCACCTGATCTGCTGGATTAGAGCTCTGGACCATGGATCTAGCTCATCTCCCATCTTGTCACACTGGCACCTATGACCTGCCCCCAGCTCTGCTCAGTTGGCTCAGACCATTGGGGCTGATGGCCTATCAGCAAGAACATGTGATATGGTCACCACAGCTTCTGGCTTGGCTCCCCTCATGATACATCCTGACATAAGAGCTGAATAATAAGCCAGATGCATCTACAGCTTAAAAGCCAGAATAATACTTTTTGGTCCCATCATCTGGTTGGATGAGTACCTGTCAGGAGTTATGTGAACACAATTGTTGATCTAGGGTTCAGGGCTGACTCGATAACTTCTCAAGGACTCCCCTCTCTCCATTTTGTTATTTTTCTTCTAATGTATTCAGCTCACATTCATTCTGAAGATCAATTGTGTTTCACCATAAATATTGAATTATTGAGAATCTTCCAAATTATCTGCCAGAGGACCTAGCTTGTGAAGGTCCTCACAAGTTCAGCTAGGAATATGCATCTGAGGAAGAAGAGCCAGTAAAAGCTAGAAATGCTAAATGGCTTATTTACATTCCTTAAAAGTTGCGAAACACTCGACTTAAAAAAAAAACAAAAATAAAAACCTGAGGAAATTATTTTTTGGCTTTGCAGCCTCAGCAGACAAAGGTTTTTGGCTCTACAACCTCTTCTCAAAAAAACCCCCATCCTACTGATTCTAATTCTTCATCACCTTGAAATCCATGTAGGTTATTCATTACACGAGCATGGGGATTTCAGAAGGCTACTGAGGGAGGATTCTCTGCTCCCATGAGATTATGGTTTTCATACATGGGTTGCACTATGACAAGCAAATATGCACTGTGCAGAGAAGAATAAAATGAGATTGCTCAACCGTTCAGATGTTAATTCATTCTCATAATTGCCTGACAATCTCATTGACCTGTTCTTACTGATTCACACCTTTTTCATTGTATGTGCTAAAGAGAGAAATAGAAGAATACAGTTGTCAGTAGCTGTCAATTTCCTTGAATGGCAGTGAAAAAGCTGACGAACTCCTTTTGGATGCAGTTAATTTAGTAAACTAGGAATTGGTACCTAATTTGCCTAAACTCTCAGAAGTACTTGGGTTGCATGGGGATTTGGTTGTCGTACTGTTTAATCAACTCAGATTTTATTAAGTGCTCAGCTCATACTTCTGGAAAATCACATTTGTTACATAACCAAAACTGGGCATACTGAAATGGAGATGCTTCAATCACATTCAGCTTTCTGAATATTGAGAAGATCCATTTAGACTATACTAAGGGAAACAAACATGATTACTTCCAGACTTCTAGAGGAAACTGGAGTTTAATTCTTCTCCTGACTTCATGAGGCCCAAGACTTCAACCAGATTCTAGTTTTGTGAAGAATGCATTACAAAACAATCAAACAAAACAAGAGCAAAAACCCTTTGCCTTGTTTGAGTCAAAAATGGAATCAACCAGCAAGTGAGTGGTAATAGGTTCATACTCTGAACTCAGTGTCAATATGACATTTCCTTTAAAATTAACTTCAGAGCCAGTGTTTGAGGAGCAGAAGTGGATGTGTTGCAGCCAGGTCTCTACATCCATTCATGTAACACTATAACATTTTGATGCCACTTGCTGGGAAATAGCACCTGCATGAGCTGTTCAGCCCTTCTCACTCATTCAGCACTAGAACAAGGGGAAAACAGTCAGTGCTATTACTTGGGAGGTGATTTGTTGGGTTGTCTGGTGTCAACATTCCTGCATTCAGCAAAAGGTATTTGAAATCACTGATCATTCTTTTGACTGGGTGGTTTGAGGACACAATTGCCTCAAGGTGTGGGATAGAAAGAAGACGGAACTAGAGTCTCCTGAAAGGAATACAGCAAAAGGGTAAGAGGTAATGGTCAGAAATCAAATTTCTGAAAAAATCTAGAAAAAATATCTTTACCAGGAGGGAGGAAAAGTAAAGGAAGAGGTTGCCCAGAGAAGCTGTTGGAAAGCCAGCCCTGAGCACACAGATCGAGCCCTGAAGCTAGAGCATCCTTCAAACAAAACTTCATATTCCTTCTAGACTCAGTTTTGATCTTCTTGTCTGTAGAGAATGCTGTAGACAGCAAAAAAGCATTTTGTTATTTCACTGCCTTCCAACACCTGCTGTCTGATATCACTTTCTTGTTTTATCTCTACCTGTTTCTCGTGGCATAAAGCTCCTTGTCAGAGACCTTGGAAGGTAACTGCACGCACAAAGGAAGATTTCCTAATATGGACATTTTCTGAGAGATGCGTGTGCTAAGGGAATTGCTTTCCAGTAACATTCCTCTCCACAGATAACATAATGACTGACTGTACACAGCCCCTCTAATTCTGCATTTTTGCATGTTTGAGGTCTGCTTCTGCCTGCACAGAAAGCGGCCATTTTCTTGCCCTAGTGTGGGCCTGATGCAAAAGGTGGGGGTGATCCCGTGATCCCTCAGAAAAAGTGTCTGCTCTTTTCTGAGGTGACTTTCCAGGACTAAAATTAAAGTGTTTTAGAAAGTTCAGTTTCTTCTGCTTGAAAATATGTACATGAGTGATGTACATGAGTGTTACCAAGCCACGCCTCATTCTTGCAGCTTAGTTCTTTTTTCTGATATGCTAGGCATAGTAATTAATGAGGAACACTACAGGTTTTTACAGGTACTGACTGATAGATAAACCAACTCCGACGAGAGCTTTTTCTTTTCAACTGTTTTAAATCATTACACTGAGCTTTATCAAGTCGAACACACAAATTGTGTGTTCTTGTTCCTGCAAACAGAATAAAGACAAACATGTGGTGCCAGGCAAATTCAATTCCATTTCAGTATCAAAGGATTTGCTAAAATAAATGTTATGAATGTGGCACCAAATACAAAGGATGTGAGGATTAGTCCACAGCATTTGGATAAACCAGTGAAATTATAACATCTGATATACAGCCCACAGGCAGTTAGGATACCTCAGAGATTTCTTCATTTATGGAAGTGAGTGGAGTCCAGCAGTGCAGCATCTTCAGTCTTCTACGTTTGATTTGGGAAATAGTAACTTGTGCATTTCCAGCAGCTTTATTTAAGCTCTCCCTAATAAGCAGCAGAAAACAACATTAGGTCATGGCTGGCTTTTCAAACACAGTCTTACGAGAAACACAGCCCTTTCAGAAACTGAAGACTGATTTCACTTCTGGACTAAAGAGCCACCCCTGCATTGCAAATCCCAGCCAGAGTACTTTAATCTAGATGGGGCACTTACCTCTGAAAAGCAGCAGATAGCATGAGGCAGCTCAAATATGGAATATATAGGTTATCTAGTATGAGTTGATGTTGATGTCCAGGTCCATGCTGAACAATTTTGGTTGCATGCCCGGAATAGATAGGCTCACAGCAGAAACTGGGATTAACATAGAAATGTACCTAATTGTAGGCTGTGTGTGTGCCAAGCAAAGTAAATGGCTCTACTTTTGAGATCAGTGTCATTTCAGATTTGCCATGAAGCAGCTCTATTAAGATTATACTATCAACCTTCACCAATTCATGTATCTGTCTATTAATTAGCTAGCAAAAGGTAACTCAGAAAAGACACACCAGTGACAAAATCAGAGCAGCATACCAGTCACTACTTATGTGTTTTCTAAACAAAATCCCCCAAGTTCTCATGTTGTGTCATAATTTCTGGTCATCAGAGAAACTCTTGAGCAATTCTTGGTGGCAAGTGTCTGTGTTTGCTTTGAGTGAGTCACTCCCATCACAGGACACCTGCCCTTCTGCAATGAGAGTGACCCACAGCTCCCATCACACTGAGCTGATGTGAAAGGAACAGAGGAATCTTAAGTGGCACCTTGCTTAAGAGGCTACTCTCTTCCGACGACTTGCTCTGGGGTGTTCCCATCTCTTCTTAGGAAGTCCCACGTTGCACACTGGGGTGTTGGCATGAGGAAGGACATCTGCCTGTGGAGCCCACTAGCTCACATGCCCAGGTGGAATGCCTGGCTTTCTTCTCCCTTCTCCTGAGTCCATGTTTGTTGAGGTGGCTGCCTCATTGGCTGTATAATCACGGAGACAGGGACACACATCTTTCAGCTCCACGAGAGCCACCCACATACTGGGCTACAGTCACATTCACCCAGTGAGCCCAGCAATGCCTCCACACAGAGCTGAGCATCTCATGAGCTCAAAGGGAAAGAATGCAAGCACCAATGGTCACATGCCAAGCACTAGCAGTATTTTATTGGTCTAATTTCCAAGAAAGTTGGGAGACAGTCTGAAGAAGAAATGCAGAGCATAATCTCCATAATTTATGAATGATAATCAATAATCTTCACTTTTGATTTGTACACAATTTTGACAGAAGGCTGACCAAAATTTTTGGCCATATTTTGAAGGATGCTATTGAA